AGTATATCATATCTAGAAGCAGAAGGGAGATGCTTAGATCATCAGGACTCACTCTGCCCTCCTCATTAATGGAACTGTCTTCATCATTGTTCTAACAGTGGGTTTGTTATCACAGCAATTTACAGGCACTCGTATTCTCTTGAAATCTCATGCCCTTCCATCTTTGCCACTGGAGTAAAACGAAACACAATGGAACTCCTTATTAGGTGTCCTATATTAACTCATTATGATAGCTGTATACCATAAGAACTAGCACAGAACAGATACTCGATAAATGCAAGTATTGCCAGCCTACAGTCCTCTTTGGTGGGTTTTCGTGTCATTGACAAGAGATTGTGCTTTTAAAATATTTTATTTTTAATTATGTTTGTGTGCATAGATACATGCATGTGGGATTGCAGGTGCTTACATAGAACAGATGAGGGTGTCAGATGGACTTCACACTGGAGTTCTAAGAAGTTGTGAACTTCCCAATGTGGGTCTGGAGAACTGCACTCAGGTCCTCTACAAAAGCTGTACTTGTACTTACTGCTCAACTCTTTCTCCAGCCCCTGAGAAAAGAAGTTTAAAACAGATTAGAAGAAGGCTTGAGGTTCATTTTATTAGAATGAGAGGGAAACAGCAGTAAGGGGAAATGGAGGAGAGAGAGAAAGATCTACCTTTGAGATAGAGTCAGCAATGGTAGGCTAAAAAGAGCTAAAGAAATAGAGATGGAGTTTTTCGTGAAAATAGTAAGCATGCCCAGAATGTCAGGAAAAACATTTTTAGGACTTTGACTGGTACTCCAGAAGAAATAAGGAATGAGGAAAGATCATTCTTTGGGGGCTAGAACTCAGAAAAGTGGGTAGATTCAGCAGTTAAGATTTATAAGCAGCAGATCTGGGAGCCAGAGAGGTCCTGATGTGTACAAGTACATTGTCTCAGCAATGGGATATTGGGATTCAATTGGAAATCAATGAGATTCTCCTCTCTTTAGCATGTTTTCATTTCAGTTATATTTCCTGAGGGGTGGTCTCCTGACAAGGTGACTGATGGGTCCGGTTGGATTAACTCTGAAGGGAGGTGATGATATTGTATATTTCAGTCATGTCAGAAGGTCATGTTTCCACCCAAGGTCAAAAGTAGAACTCAAATTTTGATCTTTTGGCCAAGAAAAATCAGTTTTCTTTTAATGTACCAATAAACAAAGTCCTGTTCATGCAGTGTTTTAAATCATAAAGATACAAAAATTGTGGTGCTTCTCTTTCTAATGTTACCAGGGAAACAGGAGGTAGGGTTCAAAGTTAACTATGATGGAAGCATTCATCCTCAGTGACCTTCAAACTTGCTTATATCTGACAACCTACCTAATACATGCTGAATTAATATATGAAAAAAAATGTCAATCGTTTTGGAGAACTTGTTCCCGAGTTTAAAATTCTTGTCTTATGACTCTCTAATTGGGCTAAGAATGAAAAGTTCTAGATTCCAGTTGTATCTATCCCATCTATTGTCTTCAAAATATTTTTGACATAAATTAACAGTTAATAGCATTCACTGTGGTTTCAGTACATACACACTTCACTTAAACCAGTGCAGATTTATAAGACTTCACAAAAGAAATAATTATTACATTTAAGTATTTAACTGCTTTATAAACTAGCCTGGACTTAGACTCTGAATCTATGCTCAAGACTTAATGTCGTAACTGTGAAATGAAAATGGTATAAAGGGTGTGGAATGTTTCCGGGTTTTCTCTCTTGGCACTGAAGACAAGATAAAGAGATCAGTAACCTAAAGGAATGGCAGATCTAAAAAATATTAAAATGGGAATGGGCCAATCTTCTATAGCAGTGTTTGGGAAATCTGGCAGTATTCCATAACAAATAAAGACACTTTAGATATAATGTTTTCCAGGCCACATCTCAAGCCAAAAGCTTTCAAATTTGTGGAGATGAGACTTGGCCACCAGTATTTCCAAGCTATTCCAGTGTCTAGACAATTTAAAGAACACATGTTCCGAAGCTGTACTTCCCATATTACCATCAATTGATAAAATGCTTTTTTTTTTGCCGTGCAAGACTTCAGTTTATTAATTTTCAGTAACAATAATTTAAAAGGTACAAAGTGTCTCATATTACAGAAATATGGGAAATATACAATAAAGAAAAATCGGGGGTCAAACTGCTAAAACACAACAGCATCAGCTAGCAAGGAGGCCAGAGACCAATGTGAATTACTCCAGGCAACCAATACACTTGCTTTCATTGTTTTGGGTTTTAAGACAGCTTCACGTATGTACCCCTAACTAGCCTCAAACTCACTGGGTGAATTCTGGATTTTGTTCCCTAAACACGAAAACAGATCAATACATAGAACAGACTAATTCACACTGGCTGTTAGGTGCATCTACTGTCCACATTTCAGCCTGCAATCTGAACTGAACACACATTAACAGCCCACACAGTACGGTTTCAGGTGTTTAGTAGGAATTCACCAGGTAAAGCCGGGCACTGTGGCACAAACCCTAATCCCAGTGTTTGGGAGACAGGTAAGTTTAAAAGGCTGACCTAGTCTGCACAGCAAGTTCTAGGCCTAGACAGGGTTAATAAATGGATCAAATTTCAACAGTACTTGTTCACACACTCAAAAATCTGCATCTTTTAGGAAAGCTGACTTCAGCCCTGGCTTTACCACTGACAAAAACCAAGACTGGTGCATGGGCTACCACTGGAAATCCTATCTACAAAGCCTTTTCAAGACTGTGCACTAACTAGAAATGGGGCAAAGAATAACTTGAAAAAAAATATTGCTTTTCACAAAATGAAGACTGGGCCTGGGCCAGCCAGCAACTGTACCAAATCATGCCGAAGTCTCTCGTGACTCAAAGTTGGAGGTTGTGTGAAGCAGAGATGCTCTGATGTATGGGGTCTCACACATACCCTGTACATGAATAGCACCAGCAGGCTAATGCCTAGATTGCACAGGACTGACTTCGATGCTGATGGAGCATCTCAATTAATTCACTGAAGAATTAAGCTTGGCAACGCTCTTCTTACAAAACACTACTTAGTGCTTGATGTAGAAACCAAATAAAGCAGGCTTTCCCCCTTGACAGTACTATGTTTGTGTGCAAAGTTCTAGTTTTATTTACAAACTTAAGTAAACGCTAGAGTCCGCGGGAAGCAGTGAATGAGGCTCACATCCTTTTAAACAGTCTTGTGGCAACAAATGCTGAATGAATCCTGTTTGCTGGAGGGTCGCCTCTCATAGAGCCTGGGTCTGTTGGTGCTTAGGGACAAAGGTTATCATACTACTCCCAGAAGCCAAGGGCAGAATTTCCCCTAAGAATCCGAGTACCTTTAACATCCTTCCTCTAGTGACACAACTAGCAAAAAGGGACCAACTGAGGTAGCTACCCAGTTCTTAGATACCAGTTAACAAATTCATGGTGTAGCCAATTGATTGCTTTTGCTGATTTTTTTATGACAAGGGGAGAACAATAATCAGCAAAGAGCAGGCAGTTTACTCAGAAGTCAGCATCCAAGGTGAAAGAATTCTCTGCTGAATTTGACATCACCCCCATCCTCTGATACTTGCCCACTCGCTTCTCAAAGAAGTTTGTCTTCCCTTCTAGTGAAATATTTTCCATGAAGTCAAATGGATTTTCTACTTTGGAAATCTTGCTGAACCCTAGCTCCAGCATAAGCCTGTCCGCCACGAATTCGATGTAGTGCTTCATCAGGGTGCAGCTCATCCCGATGAGCTTCACAGGCAGGGCCTCCGTGAGAAACTCCTGCTCTATCCTCACGGCGTTGATAATTTCTTGTACTCTTTGCTCCGACGGCTTGTGTACCAGGTGCCTGAACATCAGGCAGGCAAAGTCACAGTGTAAACCCTCATCTCTGCTAATAAGCTCATTGGAAAACGTAAGGCCAGGCATCAGTCCCTGTTTCTTGAGCCAGAATATTGACGCAAAAGAGCCAGAGAAGAAGATCCCTTCCACAGCAGCAAAGGCCACAACTCTTTCTCCATAGGTAGCTTCTTTGTCCCCAATCCAACACAGGGCCCAGTCAGCCTTCTTTTTCACACAAGGCATTGTCTCAATAGCATTGAAGAGCTACTCCCTCTCTTTGAAATCTTCAATGTAAGTGTCGATGAGGAGACTGTACATTTCAGAATGTATGTTTTCCATGGCAATTTGGAAGCTATAGAAACAGCGGGCCTCTGTAACCTGAACTTCTTGGCTAAAGCGCTCCACCAGGTTTTCATTAACTATGCCATCACTCGCTGCAAAGAAAGCCAGGACATAAGATATAAAATGTCTCTTGTCGGGTTTCAGGGCTTCCCAGTGTTGAATATCCTTGGAGAGGTCCACCTCCTCAGCCGTCCAGAAGGAGGCCTTGGCTTTCTTGTACATCTGCCAGATATCATGGTATTCGATGGGAAAAACCACGAACTGGCGGGGATTTTCTCTCAGTAAGGGCTCATCCTCAACGCTGGGCTTAGTAGATTCTTTACTTTCTGGTTCTGCTGGGTCCAGGAAGATTCTCCTCGAAGCCTTGCTCGCCAGGATGCGGGTCCCGCTGAGACTCGGGGGCGTGTTCTCCTTCTGGGACAGGTTGAGTCGCTTCAGCGGCGACATCCTCAGCTGCTGCTGGTCGGTGATGGTGGCGAGTGGGATGCAGACGGAGAGCATGGCGAGCGAGGGCAGCTGCCGAGGCAACGGAGAGGGTGGCGGAGTGGCTAGAACCCGGAGCACCTAAAATGCTTTTTTAAGTAAACCAGATCCTGATATTTAGCATTCCCAAGAATTTCCTAAGTGCTGCTTCTGGAAAAAGGACTATGCTTGTAATTTCAAGTTTCCAAAAGGCAGATAAATATATTTTTGTCAAATAGTTTTTAAAAGGTAATATGAAAGAGGCATGTACTTAATACATATGTGGCAAGAATCATGCTAGGAACTTCACCTTTATTATCTCACAAAACAACCATTTTTAATGCGCCTTTTCTCTTACCAGGAAGCTGAAAAATGAACTTTTAGAGGCAAAATGTAGAAGTGGGAAGACTCAACAAGAGAGCAGTAGAGTCTGTGTTCACTGTCAGAAAAGCCTTGGCTTCATCTTTGACCGGGGATATCCATGCCAAGTCTGCTTCCTCAAGGTGTGCAGTGAATGTCGAGTCATGGGCCCCGATGGCAACTGGAAGTGCACTGTCTGTGCCAAAGTCGCGTGAGTTTCCTGCCTTTCTGTGCAAAATCCATATTTGATAATTGACAGGATTAGAATGGAGTAGTAAGAAATGAGAAAAAAGGATTTTAAATTAGTGTAGATTTAAAAGCACAATCTAGTCACAGGCTTGATAGGTATATGTGTGTGTGTGTGAGAGAGAGAGAGAGAGAGACAGAGACAGAGACAGAGATAGAGAGACAGACACAGAGAGGAATATAGAGACAGGCATAAAGACAGAGATAAAGGAGTGTTCAGTGGGAGAGAAACAGGTAAAGGCAGCTATAAAAGTAAAGAGCAGTATTTTAAAATCAATGTCTAAAAATGTTTGTATTTAAAAACCAGCAAGATATTTTCTTTTTTCTAAGCCCTTCAAGACTCCACGTGGTTTCTACAAGAGGCAGAGACAGAATTCTTTTGACATTCGTCAACATTTGAGAAACTTGGCAAGATGAGTGCCAAATGTTCTGTGTGCTGCGTGTATCAGCTGAGGTGGAGCAGTTCCTTAATGTTCTCCAGGCTTAGTTGTTCACCAAAAAGGACAAAAGCGGGCAACTTTCCCATTATGCTTCTGTTTAGCTTCTGTCTAGCTCAGTGGTTCTCAACCTTCTTAATACTGCAACGCTTAAATACAGTTCCTCATGTTGTGGTGATCCCCAACCATAAAATTATTTTCATTACTACTTCATAACTGTAATTTTACTACTGGTATGAATCATAATGTAAGTACTTGTGTTTTCTGATGGTCTTAGGTGACCCCTGTGAAAGGGTCACTTGACTGCAAAGGGGTTGTGACCCACATATCGAGTACCACTGCCCTAGGATCTAGATATGAAAGCTCTATGTAGGTATCACCTTGAGATCTTCATGTGCAGTGAGTTGTGGGGCCTTGCTGTTAGTTTTTGGAGAACAATTTACCACCTTGGCAATGGCCTGGATTGTTTGAGAATTTCCATGGGACCCCTTTGGCCAGTGAGTCTCAACCTCTGAGTGGGTCACAACCCTTTTGGAGGTCACATATCAGATATCCTGCATATCAGATATTTATATTATGATTCATAACAGTAACAAAATAATTTTATGGTTGGGGTTAACACAACATAAGGAACTGTTTTAAATTGTCACAACATCGGGAAGGTTGAGAACAAACCACTGCCTTTTGCCAACAATTTGGTTGGGTGTAACCCAGTATTAGTACTGGAAGCTTCATTTGGTGACAGGAAATGGCCAGTTGAGACTCTATCTCCGTCTTAGTTTCTATTGCTGCAATGAAACACCATGATAAGAGCAAGCTGGGAAGGAAAGGGTTTATAGTACTTAAATTTCCACATTTCAGTCCATCACTGAAGGGAACCAGTACAGGATCTCAAATAGGGCAGAACCCTGAAGGCAAAAGCTGATACTGAAACCATGGTGGGGTGCTGCTTACTAGCTTGCTCCCCATGGCTTGTTCAGCCTGTTTACTTATAGAACACGGGACTACCAAGCCCGGGAATGGCAGCAGCCAAAAAGGGCTGGGCCCTCCCCTACCAATCACTAATTATGAAAATGCTTTATAGGGTTGCCTACAGCTAGGCTTTATGGAGGCAAGTTTTCAGTTGAGGCTTCCTCCTCTCAGGTAACTTTAGCTTGTGTTGAGGTCTGGAAAGAATTGAGTTGGAATTTTGGTGGGGATTACATTAAATGTGTAGATTGATTTTAGTAGAATGATCATATTTACTATGTTGTATCTACCAATTAATGGGCATGGAAGATCTTTCCATCTCCTAATATCTTCTTTGATATCTTTCTTCAAAGACTTTAAGTTTTTAATCATACAAATCTTTTATTTGCTTGGTTAGAGTTACCTCAAGATATTTTATAGTTTTGAGAATATTGTGCTAGGTGTTGTTTCACTGATTTCTTTCTCAGTCCATTTGTCATTTGTATATAAGGAGTGCTACTGATTTGTGTTAGTTAATTTGGTATCCAGCTACTTTGATGAGTGTTTATCAGCTGTAGGAGATCCCCAATTGAAATTTTAGGGTCACTTCAGTATAATATTTTATCATTTGCATAGATAAATATTTTGACTTCTCTCTTTCCAATTTATATTCACTTGATCTCCTTCAATTGTCTTATTGCTCTAGCTAAGACTTCAATGCTATATTGAATAGGTATGGGGAGAGAGGACAACCTTGCCTCATTTCTGATTTTAGTGGAATTGCTTAAACAAATCTCCCAGGATTGATGAGAATTTTTTCAATAACTATTTCTTCAGTTCTTATCCAATATTTTCTGAGTTGATTCTTAGTATGTATTCTTCCCCCATTTATCCTATTTCTGTTCATTCTCTTATATAGCCCAGACCCTCATTTGTTCTGACAAAAGGACCTAAGGCCTAAGACTCAGAAGTCTTTAAACTGTTACATGGAGTCTCAGACTTCAATATAAGAAGACAAATTTTTACTTTACTGTAAATTATTAATTACTAAATCACAACCCCATGACCTTATGTTGTAGCAGTAAGGTAATTTGCTAAATAATGTGGGAGGTAAATAAAGGTCTAATTCACTGTATCTTCCTCTGAAAGGTGATGGAGGAAGGTCATTGGCTAATAAAGGCACTGCCCTGGCCCATTTTATTGGTTAGAGGATAGGTGGGAGGAGAAAACAGGACAGAACACTGGGAGGAAGAGGAAGTGAGCTCAGAGACTCGAAAGCTCTCCTCTCAGGAGCAGACGCCTGAGAGAGACGCCATGCCCCGCTCCCGGGATGAAGCTCCGACCCAGGATGGACATAGGCTAGAATCTTCCTGGTAAGCGCACCTTGGGGTGCTACACACAGATGATTAGAAATGGGCTAAATTAATATGTGAGAATTAGCCTAGAAGAGAATGGGCCAAGCAGTGTTTAAAAGAATACAGTGTCCATGTAATTATTTCGGGGCATAAGCTAGCCGGGCAGGCGGTTGGGGTGTTGGGGACGCAGCCCCTCTGCCGGCCTTATTATTACTTCATATGGCGCCCACGTGGACAACTGCTTCCACATAAAGCCTGAGACAGCTTGGGAAGTAATTCTAGAACAAAATGAAAGCATTGTGCCTGGTTTCTTGGTAGCATCAATTTCTCGGTTCTACTCTGTTTGCTAGAGGCAAGCAAGCGCTCTCATCTAAGAGAAGCTTCCTGACTCAGCTTTAGCTGCAAAACCCTGCAGCTCATTAAGAGGTCCTGACACGAAACACTTAAATGATGTTGACGAAAAGCTGAACACATGCTTTTCGGTTTTCAGCCGTAGCAGGAAAAAAGCTGTGCCGTTTAAAAATGCTGGCTTTCTGGGCTGTCCTGCCAGGGCAAACTCTGACTCTTTTACGCAGGCGGTTTGTGCGGTTTGTAAGCACAGGCTGCTGAAGCTTGCTTTCTGGCTACAGCCAGTACCTCAGCCATGAGGTTGGAAAGCTAAGAAATGGGCTGGATCCAGCCGACAAAGCCACGCCTTTAATCCTACTGATATTGCTTGGTAAATGAAAGACTCTTGTGGTCAGAAAAAGAGAGATATATAGTAAAGAGAGATTCAAAGACAAAGAAAATTTCTAAATGGTTTGAAGTGTGTTAAAAATATATGCAGACTAAAATTTAAAGTTCTTAAAGTAACAAAAAAAAAAGGAAGAAAGTTGTGTGTGTGGTAGCACACGCCTTTAATCCCAGTGCCTAGAAGGCAGAGACAAACAGATCTCTGTGAGTTCAAGGTGTAGTAGTGTACACCTTTAATCCCGAATGCCTGGGAGGCAGAGACAGGCGGATCTCTGAGAGTTCAAAGACAGCCTGGTTTACAGAGTTACTTCAGGTCAAAGATACAGAGAACCTGTCCCAAAAAGCAAAGAGTTAAAAGTAAAAATAAACAAAATAGAGGTTAAAACAAAGCTGCACAAAGATGGAAAATACACAGAGAATCTTGATACTGTATGCTATTATGCTCTCTTTGAATTGTTTGAATGCTGAAGAAGAAGCAACAGCTGCTAAAAGATATTTATTGATAAATGCTGCTGAACTAATCCGACATAGATATTTTGATGCCTTAACTTTGAAATTTGGATCTAAGGACATGATGCTTTGGAAAGGAGTTTCTTATTTTGTTTTCACAGAGGATGAGACGCTGTTCATTTCTTCTATTCCGATTTGGTATGATGGACCACGCCCTCCTGAAGGGTTGCAGTGAACATCTTCAGAAAATTGCTTCGCTCAACTGCCAACTGAGATGAAACTAGCACACAGGTTATACCATGAAAGACCTAATTAACGACGCCCCCATTCAGCAGGAAGCAGTTTGGAGAGAAAAAACTGCGCCCATGTTCCCAAAAATGTTTATAAATGTTCTTTTACATTTAAAGGGGGATATGATATAGATATGAATAATTTGCATTAGTATAGATTTTGCTTTATTGATAGAGATTTAAGGTCAATTTTGTTATATGTATAAGTGTTTCTGATTTTGATTAAGGTATTGTGATTGTGTAGTTCATTTAAATATGTACTGTATAATTAAGAAATATAGGTTGTTAATGGATAATCATCGATAATAGTAAAGATTGTAGTCATGTTAGTTAGATTTTCTAGATATATAGAGATATATTTTAGATAGACATTCTTCATGTCTTTCAAAGATTACAGAATAGGACATTTAATGTTTTAATAACTGAGGACTTTTCATGACAATGAGACACTCTGCTCCTGGCAGCACCAATCTACTTCAAGAGGAAGATGGGCATCGAAGAGGCACCTTATGGAGTTTGATAGCCATTTGGGCAAGAAACTACTCTTGCCTGGACTATTGCATCAACTGGACACAGAGAACCCGCAGAGAGGGGACTACTGAACTTGCCTAAGGTGAGATGATCTTTCGGGGTTCCTGATTCATTTTGAAAGAGTCTGCGAGACATTCTGCAGGACACAACAGATAGTGACTGAACTGACTTTGAATTTCCCTGCTTTATGGAAATGTCTGCTGGATACCATGGGCCTGAAGG